CATATCCTTACATACAGCCAAACATACTTTTTGGATATTAACACATACCCTAACCTGTGTCCTTAATATATATCCTAACACATACCTTATCCCTAACACATGTCCTAAGTCTAACACAGCCTGCCGTGTACCATAAACCCGACTCGTACCAAAACAGAGAGTATAAACACTAACTTGTAAGGTAACACTTACTCTTACATGTACTTTGAACCATACAAGGCATTCTTACAAGCACCACAAGCATACACTAATGCATGTCCTAACCATGAGATAAACCTTAGCAGATACCCTAATATATACCCTAACCATAGCATGTATCCTGACCACTATTATATATTATAAACCTTACATTACACCCTAACACGTACCCTAAACTCATCCCAACACACATCCTAACATGTTGTCTAATGCAAACTGTAATGGTAACCCTAACTTGTACCCTAAATCTAACACATATCCTAACAAGTACTCTAACATGGACTTCAAGTCATGCATGTACAATAATGTGCACCAAACATGCACTAACACATACTCTTATCCTAACAAGTACCCTAACAGGTACTCAAAACCACAGAAGTCCCCTTACATGCACTGTAACTTGTACCCCAAAGTAACCTAATATGTACCCAAATACATGCCCTAAATTTAACACAAATCTCTACTATAACACATTTTCCAATCGGATTTACACTCTAACACATTAAAACATGCTCTAGACAATGACACATATGGTAACAACTACCCTAACGTGTACTCTATAAACCATACAGGTAAACCCTTACATGCACCATGGATGTACCCTAACATACACTAACTCTGACCTTGATATATATGATAACATGTACACTAACAACATTCATGTACTGTAACAGTTGGGACCCTAACCTAATACCTACTATAAAAGATACAAATACCCATACATATATCCTTACATGTACCTCAAACATGCACTAACCCAAACATGTACCTCAACCATGACATGTAGCTTAACATGCACCCTAATGTACTCCAACAAGTACTCTAATCCACACAGGTTCCCTTACATGCACCTAACATGTGCCATTACACATACAATAACCTTAACAAAACATGCTTAAGGTGGATCCAAGTTTCCAAAAAGAGATAAATAGCACTCAATCCCCACCCATATCCTCACATGTGTATGCAATCACAGTTGTGTGAACAGAATGAAAGCACAGCTGACTACTCATTTTAGGCTCCAGGATACCCCAAAGTTAGGCACAGCGGGGCCCACCACATCAATGATGGTAAAGAAAGGACTCTAAGCAATACAACCCCACAACTGCTGAACTGGCTGGACACACACCATACAACCATACAGGTTTGGAATTGTGAATACTAACACATATTTCAAATGTGCCTTGACTCTAACTCAACTCAAAATCCTAAGAGATATCCTAATGTGTGCTCATCCTAACAGGTACCTTAACACTAACATGTACCCAAACCCTAATAAGTACCCTATCACATACTCAAAACCATACAGGTATCAATTCATGAACACTCACATGTAACTCAACATTGCCCTAACTCAAACCTATATCATAACCATATGAGATACCCTAACATGTGTGATAATCTAATACATAACCTAACGTGAACCCTAACATGTGCTCTAATCCTAACTCACGCCATAATCCAATCCTAATGTACACAAACCCTAGCACATACTCTAACATGTAGCCTGACAATTGTATACCATAAATCTCATACCCTAAACACATACTCTAAAAAATTAAGAATTATCCTAACACGTATCCCAACATGTACTCTAAACTCTGCAAGTATCCTTACATGTTTCCTAACATATGCCTTAATATAAGTACACTCACATGTACTCTTACCATACATATACCTTAATATACCCTAACAGGTAAGCTAACCTTAACCAAAACCATAACCCTAACCCATACTCTACCATGTGTCTTAACTCTATCATATGATCTAATGTGTACCCAAACACATACTCAAACTATTAACACATAGCATAACAACAACACTAACATGTACTCTTACACATACTCAAACCAATAACACATAGCATAATAACAACACTAACATGTACTCTTAAACATACATATACCCTAATATGAACCACAGCATGTACTCTAAACACTAATGCACCCTAGCAAGTACCCTAACAAGTACTCTAAACAATACAGGTACCCTTACATGTACCCACAACTAAACCCATGTCACAACCTAATACATGCCTACCCTAACGAATATTCTAACATGCACTCTAACACATTACGATGTACCATAACAAGTACCTTCATATCTACTCTAAGCAGGTACATTACCCTAACATGTACCCTAAGCGAAAGCCTAACCATGTATCCAAACCACAACATGTATCCTAAGATGTACCCTAACACTACCATGTGCTCCAAACTTTACATGCACCCTAACAAGTACCCAAACTATCTACGCAAAAATTAACACGTACTCTAACCCTAATCTAAACCATAACAAATACCCTAACACATATCCTACACTCTAACATGTACAGTGACAAGTACCTAAACACACACTCTAAACCTTGCAAGCATTCTAACATGTCCCTTAACATACTCCAATGCAAATCCTAACACATGCCCTAACCTTAACTCAAATCCTAAACCTAACATATTCTATAACACATACTCTAACATGTACTCTAAATCCTAACATGTTAGGTAAAAAGTATGCTAACACATACTCTAAACCATATGGGTACCCTAACATGCATCCTAACATGTACCCTGACACATAACCTAACCCTAACACATACTGTAATCACTAACATGTACAATAACAAGTACCTTAACACATAAGCTAAACCATACAGGTATTTGACATATGCCCCAAACATACACCAACACATAAAATAACACTGTAACTCTAACATGAACCCTAACGGGTACCCCAACATACACTCTGAGCCATACTTGCACTCTAAAAAGCCCACACCCTAACACACCCAAAGCCACTCACCAATCTTTAGCCCTACCCTAAACTGTTCAATAACTCAAATTCATACGAAACCATATAACATGTTCAGCAATCATAACCACTCCCAAAACCTAACACAGTACTTAACTGTAACTCTTACCCCTTTCCTAACAGGTCCCCTAACCATTACCTGTTCCATAATCCACTTCATAAAAAGTCCATAACCCTAACCCATCCCACAAAGTTCTTCCTCATTCGTTACCTAACCCTGAACCTTTCCTAAACACTTATCCTAACACTTCCCCTAACAGAGTCCCCAACCTCTCCCTTTGTCTACCATGTTCTCTATTCACTTCCCGAACCCTCAACCTGACATTCCATAACCCAAGTGTTAAATAACCCTTTCTGTAACTCCTAACTTCACTAGATCCCTAATCCTAAAACATTCACTAACTATAATCCACGGTCTTTCTGTAACACTGACCCTAATCATAACTTTTTCCCTATTCTAACCAGTTTATCAACCATAACTAAAAACTTAACCTCCACCCCAAGTAGCCTAAACAACACCCAACTTTAACCCTACCTGTACCATCAACAACCCTACACTTAAACTCTAACCTCAATCTGTAACACTGACCCTAATCATAACTTTTTCCCTATTCTAACCAGTTTATGAACCATAACTAAAAACTTAACCTCCACCCCAAGTAGCCTAAACAACACCCAACCTTAACCCTACCTGTACCATCAACAACCATACACTTGAACTCTAACCTCAATCTTACCAACCCTAAAAACAGTAGCCCTAACAACCCTAATCACTAACTCCACCCCTGACCACTAACAACTCTATTCCTTTACCCTATTTCTCAAAAACCCTAGTCCTTAAGTCTATTCCTCCCCTAGCTCAGGGGGATGGATTAGGGCTGCTGAATGGATTAGGTACACAGTTATTCTATGGATCTGAGTTAACAAATGGCTTCGGGTTAGGACTAAGATTGGTGAGTGGCTTAGGGTACATGTTAAGGGTACAGGTGCCCTAAGCAAAACTTGACTCTACCATTCATCAACAACCCTATACCTAAACCCAAAACCAAACAAGACCAACCCTAACAACAGTAGCCCTAGTAACACTAGCCCCTACTGTCGCCACCCCAGACTCCTGGCAACCCAAGTTTCTTAACCTAATCCCAACCCCAACCACACCCTGGTACTTACCAGACTTACCTGCATCCTTGGAGGTAGATGGCCTTCTTTCATCAAACCTGCTTAAGCTGGGTCCAATTTCCAGAGATACATAGCACACAATACCCACCCATATCCTCACATGTGCACGCATGACAGATGTGTAAACAGAGTGAAAGCACAGCTGACTGCTCATTCCAGTCTCCAGTCTCCCCCAAAGTTGGGCATAGCAGGGCCCACACCATTGAGCAGGGTAGGGCAAGGACTCTGAGCAAACCAACCCCACAACTGCTGATGCCATGGGAGTTGTCTAACATACACTCTAAACCATACAGGTTTAGAATCCTGAACACAAACATGTGCCTCAAACATGCCCTAACTCTAACCCCAATCATAGCCCTAAGAAATACCCTAACATGTGTGCTAACCCTTACACGTACCTGAACCCTAACATGTACCCAAACCTTAACACACCTGAACACGTGCAGTAAACCACACATGTACCCTAAGATGTACCCCCCCAATATACTCTAACGTTCCCTAACACATAACTTAACCCTAACATGTACCCTAATTACTAACATACAGTAACAATTACCGTAATGCAGTCTAAACCATACATGCACCCTTACATACACCCGAACAGCAATGTGTCTTAACAATACCCTAACATGTGCTCTTAATATATACCATAATCCTACCAAACATACCTAAAACCTAAACCATGACATACCTAAACCCTAACACATACCCGACCTCTAACACAACCTTGCTACATACTAAAATTTTACCCTTACCCTAACACTTATTATAACATATACTCAAGATACTAACATATATGGTAACAATTATTCTTACGTGAACTTTGAACAAAACAGGTACTCTTACATGTACCCTAGCATGAACCCCAAACACTCTAATGTATACCCTAATGTAGAAATTATAAGATATTCTGACATGTAACCTAAACAAGACATGTACCTTAACCACTGTCACGTACTGTAAACCTTACATATACCCTAAGAAGTACCCTAAACTTAGCCAACACACATCCTAACATGTCGCCTAACCCAAACCATAACTGTAACCCCAACACATACTCAAACATGTACTCAAACACACACTCTAAACATGTGCACATATCTTACAACGTAATCTCATGTGTAGTTCTAGTCATAAGTGTACTCTAACACGTGCACAACACATACCGTTTCCTAAATGATAACTCATATCCTAACAAGCACCCTAACACTTATTCAAAACCATGCAAGTACTCAAACTCACTCAAATACGTACCCCAAAGTAACCTAATATATACCCTAATATGTGCCCTAACTTTACCAAGTATTTTAACCCTAACAGATTTCCCAATAGTACTCTAACACATTAAACATACTCTAGACACTAACATAAATGGTAACAAGTACCCTAACATGTACTCTATAAAGCCTACAGATAACCTTACATGTACCCTGAAATCACCTAATATACTCTAACCCTGACCCTTACATGTATTCTATCAAGTACCTTGACATATACTGTAAAATATACAACTATCCATACATGTACCCTAACATGACTCAAACATAAGCTAGCATGTACCCTAACATACCCTAATAGGTACTGTAAACCACACAAGTATCTTTCTATGCACCCTAACATGTATCCCCTATGTTCCATAACACAGCCTAACATGTGCCCTAACCCTAAAAAGATCCCCTAACACATACCATAGTATCTGCCCTAAGACACACTCTAACAAGTGCCCTAACATGTACCGTAACCCTAACAAATCCCCTATCAAGTACCCTGATTCTAAAACATACCCTAACATGGACCCAAACACATAGCCTAATGTGTGCCATAACTTTACCATGTATATTAAACCTAACAGATTTCCCAATAGCACTGTAATGGACTAAACATGCTCTGGACCCTAACCCATATGGTAACAAGTACTGAAACATGTACTCTATAAACCGCAAGTGTACCCTGAATGTACCCTAACAAAATATAATACATACTCTACTAATAAATATGGTAACAAGGACCCTAACATGTACTCTAATCCATAGTTACCCTTACATATACCCTAACTCACACCTTCACACAAAAACTAACTCAAACCTTAATACCCTTACAAATACTCTAATCCTAACGTGTATATTAATATGTGTCCCAACCACTAACACACACAGTAACAAGTACCCTAACACATACAGGTACTCTTACAAGCACCTTAACATGTACCCCAAATGTACCCTAGCACTAACCCTAAGCAATACCCTAACACACGTCGTAAACCTAACACAATATTGACATATGCCCTGAAACATAGCCTGCATAGTTCCCTAACATGTGCTCTTAAGCCTAGGTACCCTTACTAACACCCTAACATGTACTCAAAATGTAACCCAACACATACCTAACACGTGCCCAAAAAAAACCCAAACCATAACCTTAATCAATACCCTAACATATGTCCTAATCCATGTCCTAACCCAAACACATACTCTAACACATATCCTAATAAATACCCTAACCACTAATACATGGTCTAAACCATACAGGTAACCTTCATGTACCACAAATGTATAACCTGACACATGACCTAGTGCTGGCTCTAGTCCTAACATGTACCTTAACCCTAACATGTACCCTAAAATATTCCCTAACATATACCCCATCATACACCCTAACTCTGGCCCATACTCACACCCTAACATATACCCTAACCTAAATCCACACACAAACATGTACTCTAACACCTTATGTACCTTAAAGTGTGCCTCAACCCTAAAATGTATGGTAAACATTAACATATATCCTAACAAGTACCCTAACACATACTCCAAGTGATCCTTACATGCACCCTAACATGTATCCTTACATGCACCCTAACATGTACCCTTATACACACATAGCTTAACCCTAACAATCCCAAACACTTACCATAACTGTACCATGTACCCTAATGTATACCCTAACCACTAATATGTACAGAATCAAGCACCCTAACATGTATTTTAAACCATAAAGGTTTATGTTCACCCTAACATGTACCCCAAACCTACCCCAAATGCATGCCCTAACATGTACCCTAATGTACCTTAAACCCAAACACTATCTTAACATGTTCCCTAACATGTACCCCACCATACACCCTAACTCTGAACCCATACTCACATCTTAACATGTGCCTTATCCCACACTCATACTCATACCCTAAGACATACCCTAAGCCACTCAGCAATCTTATGCCTCACCCTAAACCAGCTGCTAAGCCAAATCCATAACTATGACTAACACTTTCAACAACTCCCCAAACCTACATTAATCCTTTACTAACAAATTACCTAATCCTCACTTGTTCCATACCCACTCTGAAGACTGCTCCATAACATATCCATCATCCTAACCTATCCCACAAAGTTCTTCCTTGCACGTTCCCAAACTATGAACCTAACTTTAACATGTATTTTAACCTAACAGATTTCACAATAGCACTCTAATACATTACACATACTCTAGACACTAACACATATGGTTAAAAATAGTCTTACACATACTCTATAAACCATACACGTAACCTTACATGTACCCTGAATGTATACCGTAGCATACTCTAACCCTGACCTTAACATGTACCCTAACATGTACTCTAATAAGCACCTTGACACATGCTCTAAGAAACTGTAACCCTAACACACATCCAAACATGTACTCTAATACAAGCTCTAAACACTTATATATATCCTACAAGTACTCTAACATGTACTTCAAGTATTACATGTACCCTAAAGTGTGTACAACACAGGTAACCTTACATATATCCCAAATGTATAAGTACCCAAACATGTACTCTATAAACCTAACCTTAGCCTTACCCATTCCATAATCCAAATGCTAATCCCTTCTATAACTCCTAACTTCACCAGATCCCTAACCCATTCTCAGTAACATTGACCCTAACACTAACTTAGCTCTTCATAAAAACCTGCTTAAAAACCTGCTCTGTTTGGCTAATCGAAAACCCAGCACCTGATTTAATTCTAACTTCCACCCTAAGTAGCCCTAAAACACCCAAACTTAACCCTGCCCTTAGCATCAACAACCCTACACCTATAACCAATTCCTCAACAATTCTTTCATAACCTTATGCCTCTCATAGCTTTGGGAAGTTGGTCAAAGTTCCTGAATGTGTTAGGTACACACCTAGTGAATGGATTTGAGTTAGCTCACAGCTCAGGATAGATGGCAGGGTTGGGGCCTAGAGTCATTAAAGTTGTTCTGACAAGTAACAACTGACCAAGCAGGAAGGAGTAGGCCTCCCTTCCTCACAAATGCCTTCACCCAAAAAATAAAAATAAAAAAACAAAAAACAAATGCCTTCATCCCTTCTCCAGGTACCATAAGCACAGATGAAAGCATGGTAGAGATGAGGATGGAAGCCTAAGTTGGGTCTCAGTCTGCCAAAGCATACACTGAGTTGTAGAGCAAGATTCTACATGCATAATTCAAAGTGTGCGAACTCTCCCCAGTTTCTCCTGACACTCAGTACATTTTCTCCTCAAAGTGCCTACAGGCAGAGGCAGGCAACCGACAACAAAGGCTAGGCATCCAGGAGCCCTGTCACAGACAAGTGGGACCTGGTATGTCTGACAGGGAAAAGAAAAGGCTAGGTTATGCCTTCTGCTTCCCTCAAAAGATCCTTATCAGAATGTGGACATGACTCCAGTCTACAGAAACTGATTGGCTTCAAAGGCATAAAATGGAGAGCTTAGTGTTAAGGTGTTGCCCTAGCCTGTGAAGAGCCCTGAACATAGTATCACCAGAATTCACCAAAGCAAATTGAAATACCTTGGAATGCCTGACAAAATGTCTGTAAGGTGTATGTAATGAAAACATAAACATGTGTCACACATCCTCTCACCCCCTAACCACCATACCTTATGCAGGACATAGCTGAAAGCTCAGTAAAGACTTGGTGCCATGGATATAGGCCTGGGATGAGCCTAATGTGGTCAAATTTGTTCTGACAGGCATCAACTTACCAAGCAGGAAGGGAGAGGCTTCACCTCGTTCTCCAGGCCCAAGTGTAGACATGAAAGTATAGATGAAAACTTGATGCAGACTCGGAGAAACACCAGCGGTGAGAGCAAGTTCTGATGGGATCCGATCCATCCAGACCATCCCACATTGGTCTATACACCATGAACCTATATTCGAGATTCCAAGCTTCCAGGCTCTCCCCATTTTATCCTGAAACTCTGCGTGTTTTCTTCTCAAAATGCCTATAGTCAGAGGAAGACAACATGCATCAAAGGCTGGAAACCATGGATAACAAAGGCTAGAGAGAAAGAATCAAGGCCAAGAGCTGAGGCACTTGCCTAGCTTGTGGGAGGCCCTGGAACACAATACCACTGGAATTCACCGACAGTAAATTGAAACACCTTTGTGTACCTAGTAACGTGTAAAAGAGGGCTAGGAACATGGCTTAGTAGCAGAGTGCTTGCCTAGCATGCATCAAGCCCTGGGTTCAAATCCTAAATACCACATACACAGAAAAATCTGGAAGTGGTGCTGTGGCTCAAGTGATAGAGTGCTAGCCCTGAGTGAAAGAGCTCAGGGACATTGCCCAGGCCCTGAGTTCAAGCCCCAGGACAGGCCAAAAAATGTATTACCTATGTTATGAAAACAAAAATCTCTTTGTGCTGGTCCTAGGACTTGAACTAGGGGCTTGGGTGCTCTCCCTGAGTTGTTTTTGTTCAGTGCCAGTGCTGTACCACTTGAGCCACAGCTCCACTTCTAGATGAGCCACAATAGAAATCGGACATCCTTTAGAGCAGGACTAGTCAGAGCTGGCCGAAACTGGAGCTGTTGCCAACAAGGGAAAGGCCCGGACATAGAGAAAGCCCAAACCAGGAGCTCAAGGAAAGCCCAGACCCAGGGAAGGATGAGACCTGGGGAAGGCCGAGACCCAAAGAAGGCCTGGATCCAGGGAAGGCCTGGGGGAAGAACAGGACTCTGGGAAGGGATGGACGCAGGCAAGGCCCAGATTCAAGAAAAAATGGGACTCAGGGAGGCCTGAACCCAGGGAAGCCCTGGACTCGGATATGTGGACTTGCTGCAGCACAGACCCTGAGCTGTCAGCACAGATGTGCAGCCAGCTAGAGGCCTGGTGTGGGGGCTGGTATAGGGCCTGGCATGGGGCCTGCCTGGTGTGGGGCCTGGTATGGGGCCTGCCTGGTGTGGGGCCTGGCATGGGGCCTGCCTGGTGTGGAGCATGCTATAAGGGCTGCCTGGTCTGGAGCCTGGTATGGGGCCTGGTGTGGGACCTGCCTGGCGTGGTGCCTGGTGTGGGACCTGCCTGGTGTGGGGCCTGGTATGGGGCCTGGCATGTGGTCTGGCATGAGGCCTGGCGTGGGGACTGCCTGGTGTGGGGCCTGCCCGGTGTGGGGCCTGCCTGGTGTGGGGCCTGCCTGGTGTGGAGCCTGGTGTGGGGCCTGCCTGGTGTGGGACCTGGTATGGGGCATGGTATGGGGCCTGGCGTGTGGCCAAGCATGGGGGCTGCCTGGTGTGGGGCCTGGTGTAGGTCCTGGTATGGGGCCTGCCTGGTGTGGGGCCTGGCGTGGGGACTGCCTGGTATAGGGCCTGGTGTGGGGCCTGGTATGGGGCCTGGCATGGGCCTGGTGTAGGGCCTGTTGTGGGGCCTGGTGTAGGGCCTGGTGGGGGGCGTGATGTGGGACCTGCCTGGTGTGGGGCCTGCCTGGTGTGGGGGCTGCCTGGTATGGGACCTGGTGTGGGACCTGCCTGGTGTGGGGCATGCCTGGCGTGGGGGCTGCCTGGTATGGGACCTGGTGTGGGACCTGCCTGGTGTGGGGCATGCCTGGCGTGGGGGCTGCCTGGTGTGGGGCATGATGTGGGACCTGCCTGGTATGGGGCCTGTTGTGGGGCCTGGTGTGGGGCCTGGCGTGGGACCTGCCTGGTGTGGGGCCTGGCGTAGGGCATGTCTGGTGTGGAGCCTGGCGTAGGGCCTGCCTGGTGTGGGGCCTGCTTGATATGGGGCCTGCTTGATATGGGGCCTGGTTTGGGGCCTGCCTGGTGTGGGGCCTGGCGTGGGGCCTGCTTGGTGTGGAGCCTGCCTGGTATGGGGCCTGGTATGGGACCTGCTTGGGGTGGGGCCTGCTTGGTGTTAGGCCTGGCATGGGGCCTGGTTTGGGGCCTGCTTGGTGTGGGGCCTGGTATGGGACCTGCCTTGTATGAGGCCTGGTGTAGTGCCTGCCTAGTATGAGGCCTGCCTGGTGTGTGGCCTGCCCAGTGTGGGGCATGGTGTGGGGCCTGTTGGGCCTCATGTGGGGCCTGCCTGGTGTGGGGCCTGGCGTGGGGCCCTGACTGGTGTGGGGCCTGCTTGATATGGGGTCTGGTTTGGGGCCTGCCTGGTGTGGGGCCTGGTGTGGGGCCTGGCGTGGGGCCTGCCTGGTGTGGGGACTGGTATGGGGCCTGGTGTGGGACCTGTTGTGGGACCTCCTTGGTGTTTCTGCCTGGCATGGGGCCTGCCTGGTGTGGGGCCTGGTATGGAGCCTGTTGTGGGACCTCCTTGGTGTTTCTGCCTGGTGTGGGGGCCTGCCTGGTATGGGGCCTGGCGTGGGATCTGCCTGCTGTGAGGCCTGCTTGGTGTGGCCTGCATGGTGTGGAGCCTGGTGTGGGGCATGGTGTGGGACCTGCCTGGTGTAGGGCCTGGCATGGGGACTGTCTAGTGTGGGGCCTGGTGTGGGACCTACCTGGTGTGAGGCCTGCCCGATGTGGGGCCTGGTGTGGTGCATGGTGTGGGGCTTGCCCAGTGTGGGGTACGTGTAGGATGTGCCTGGTCTGAGTCCTGTCTGGTGTGGGGCCTGCCTGGTGCGGGGCCTGCTTGGTGTGGGGCCTGGTGTGGGGCCTGCTTGTTGTAGGGCCTGATGTAGGGCCTAACTGGTGTGAGGCCTGCCCGGTGTGGGGCATGGTGTGGGGCTTGCCCGGTGTGGGACAGGGTGTGGGGCCTGCCTGGTGTGAGTCCTGCCTGGTGTGGGGCCTGCCTGGTGCAGGGCCTGCTTGGTGTGGGGCCTGCCTGGTACAGGCCCTGGTGTGGGGCCTGCCTGGTGTGGGGCCAGGTATGGGGCCTGGTGTGGGCCCTGGCGTGAGGCTTAGTGTGTGACCTGGCATGGGGCATACTATGGGGCCTGGTGTGGGGCCTGCCTGGTGTGAGGCCTGGTGTGGGGCATGGTGTGGGACCTGCCTGGTATGAGGCCTGGT